ATTTTTAATGATCATTCTGTTAAAGAACAAATTCCTGACTATTTTGATAATACTGAACTCCCTCTTATTTGTTATGTATACAAAAAATCTACCCGGAAATATGTGTTTAATTACAGCGAAGTGTGTAAAGATGTAGATATCAGTGACAATACACCTACGTCATGAAATTGCTGTAATTCCGAATACATGTATGGTCCCAGTTCCCATGTTATAACAGGAGACCTTAACATCGTTCGTGACCGAGAGTTGAAATCATTCCTCAGTAAAGGACGTAAATATCGCCCCCGTCAATTATCAATTGGAATTAGTGTCGTAACATTATCCACGACTCACTCCGTACTTACTGCTCTAAATGGATAAAACGACAAAAACGCTGACAAGAAATCATTAGATTCTTTTTCTAATTCGATAATGAACATAGTTGATATACGTATTCAACATTTTAAAGAACATTTTACTCCTAACAACAACCATAATTGCCCTATTTCTCGTATCAAACATAAGCTAAAAGAACTCGCCAAGGAATTTGTTTTTGTCCCGGCTGATAAGGCTGCTAACAATATCATTATTGTTTGACGTAAATTTTACATTGAGGTTCTGAAAAAGGAAATTACGAATTCACCATCATTCCAACTGACTCCATTTTCGAAAAATGACATCTGTAACAAACAAACTTTTAGCTACCTCTTTACAAGCAGAACCAAATACAATGAAAGTTCCAACTATGTACTGGCTTCCGAAGCTGCACTAAACTCCTTACAAATATGGATTTATTTCGTCTTCAAGCCATTTTTCCACTACTAAACTATCTATTCTACTTACTAGTACACTTAGTACAATAAAAAAACTGGTAAAAAATTGTTCAAATAAGGCCTTTGAAAATAATGGAAATAATTACTTTTGGAGTGTCAAAAATTCGTTGGAAGTACTTGATAAATTGCATGCTCATATTGGTGATTTCGAATCTATCAATTGGACCTGCTTTGATACTATAACTGTCCTTGCATTTTTACTAGATAACATTTTTGTTCGCTATGGAGATTCCGTATATCGTCAAGTTATTGGAATTCCCATGGGAACTAACTGTGCACCACTTATTGCGGACCTGTTTCTGTATTGTTACGAGTTACAGTTTATGACTAAAATCAACAAAAACCCATCGAAACAACATCTGATTCAAAAATTTAATAACACTTTTAGATATTTAGATGATATATTGGCTCTCAATAATGACGACGTCAGTATGTACACTAAAGAGATTTATCCTGCCGAACTGACCTTAAATATGGCTAATACTAACAATGAACACTGCCCTTTCCTAGATCTTGATATCTATATCTTTAACGGGAAGCTTAATACCAAAATTTATGACAAAAGAGATTATTTTTCATTTCCTATTGTTAATTATCCATTTTTGGATGGTGACGTTCCCTTGTCACCGTCTTATGGTGTTTATTTATCTCAACTTGTTCGATTCGCTCGTGTATGTAGCAACGTATTTGATTTTAACGAAAGAAATCTCTGTATTACTGAAAATTATTATACCACGGTTTTCGATATCTCAAACTAGTCAAAACATTTACTAAATTTTATCATCGGTACAATGACATCATTCGTAAATATAAATTAACATGCACACACCTAATACGCTCAGGTATTTCACATCCAATCTTTTATGGTAATATTCTTTACAAAAGCTAACCAAACCTTTAAGCAGACTTATTCGGAAGGGATATAGTTACGATACTGTTGTCAAGTCATTCAGGATTGCATATTTTGGTATTAATATTGATTCACTCATAGGGTCTTTGCATCGGAAATAAACACATTTATTCTAAAACCAGTTATTGGCATGATACGGGTTATGTTCTTCTCATATATTTTATGATGTTATGATAATAAACCCCTAGCTGGAGGGGTTGTACTTGCTTTTCATATGATGAAGACATAATCTTTCAATCAGTTTAATTGAGGTCTGGAGCTGGCATGTCAGTAACTGCTAGTAGTCCTTTGTTAATTTATGTATCATTGTCATGTTGCTTAGTTTCTTTTGTTACCTATTCTGACATCGGACTCGGACTTCTTTTAAACTGAGTTTTACTGTGCGTATTGCTGTGTGTTTGTTTATTCTACATTGGCCAGAGGTATAGGGGGAGGGTTGAGATCTCACAAAACATGTTTAACCCCGCCGCACTTTTGCCCCTGTCCCAAGTCAGGAGCCTCTGGCCTTTGTGAGTTTTGTATGTTTTTTAATTTTAGTTCATTTATATGTTTTGGAGTTGTTAATATGACGTCCATTTTCACTGAACTAGTACATATTTTTATTTAGGAGCCAACTGAGGACCACCTCCGGGTGCGGGATTTTCTCGCTTTGTTGAAGACCCATTGGTGGCCTTCTGCTGTTGTCTGCTCTTTGGCCGGGTTGTTGTCTCTTTGACATAATCCCCATTTCAATTCTCAATTTTATTAAGAAGTCCCTCCTCCTGTAGTGGTAGCCATTTTGGTGTTTATAGCAAGTGCATAACCCGATGATACGTCTATTATCTTTCCAGCGCGTTTTTTTTTTTCTTTTTACCGGTGTTGCCAACGGGGAAAGCAGGACTAGTTACCGCTTCACTCCGTCTCTCTTTACGTTTGTACATTTGGGTCGATAACTTTTGTCCAATTTTTTAAATTTTGCCATATTGTATCATGTAAGCAATTTTCCAATCAGTCGTTCAGCCACTTCCTGTTTGCCGATAGGTGACATTTTGCAACACTTATTGTAAGAGGAACATTTTATTCAAGCAGGTTTGGCTTCTACGGCAAGGAATGGTTATATATGTGATCCAAAACTTGATAATGTTGAATTGTACCGTGTACACAAGATTTTCATCAGCCATGCAGTCACATCCTGTTTGCCAATAGTGTTTGAAATGTTATAACACGCAGAGTACAAGAAAATGTTTTGCAAAAATGATTGGCCTGATTCCTGGGAGGGTGTTATTTTATATTTGCTCAGGAGCTTGATAATGATGAATAATGCCGTGCAGGCATTTTTTTATAGTTAGCTAGCTAAACCTCTGACTTGTATGACAGTCGTATAGAATTCCATTATACTGACAACAATGTGTGAGCAAAACAAACAGACATAATAGGTAAAATTGTCAAATATTTGATTACAGCAGTCAACATTGTGTTATAATCTCAATCACCTTAAAAAAATCATCAAAGAAAAACAAAATGGCATATAGACGCTATATAGACAAGGTGCATCAGCTAACAATTTTGTTTTTCTTTGTTTAAATAGTTATTTGTTTTATAGTGATTAAGGTTATAACACATTGTTGACCACTGTATCTTAATTTTTGACATTGTTACCTATTATGTCTATTTGTTTTACTCACACATTTTTGTCAATATTATGGCAATCTATGCGATTACCATACAAGTGAGAGGTTTAGCTAACTGTAAAACTAGTTTTAATCCACCATTTTCTATATAAGGAAATGTCTGTACCAAGTCAGGAGTATGACATTTGTTTTTCATTCCTTTGATGTGTTTGAGCTTTTGATTTTGCCATTTTATAAAGAACTTTCCGTTTTGAATAATCTTGGAATTCGGTATTTTAGTTATATTTTTTTTCCAGTTTTGTTTGAAGCGTTTTTGGTATTGCTGTTTGTCTTAACATCGTTTTTGCCATTGTCTTTTCGGTTTGCCTTTTAAATAGTACGCTTTTCATCTTCAACGTCTTGTTGAACCATTTAAAAAAAAATCATTGCATCAAATTGTAAAAAATATTCACTAAAAAGTACATGTACATTCTTTTTTTAACAAGATGTTTCAATGGTTTTTCATGAACCTATATGATACTTTATTTACCTCTTCGTTAGTTTTCTAGAATGTTATTACCAAGTTTTCCTAGAACAGTGTATATATTAGTTCAACATCTGTTGTTTTGAAACTAGCCAACCAATTATTATTTGTTTATAAATTTAGTAACATTTTCCACCACTTTTATTGATTTCATAAGGCATAGGTTTTCTTCGAGTTAATATCATCAAACACCAAACACAACAGTTGCAATTTATTTCTTCTCATAGTAAATGAACTCTCTGTTATCAGAGCATTCGAAATTCAATTCCGTTCCAGCCAACCGCTCAATGCATTTGTGACACCATTACCATATTCATTTGAATTACATGTATACACGATTCGTACGATTTAAACTTACCTACATTGTAACATGTTTTTTAAAAAAGAAATATCAGTTGAAAAGGGCCTAACTCATCAGATCGACACGAAGCACAAAAAACAAACAACTAACAAAATCATTAGAATGCTAAGAACCTATTATAGATTACTCGCAGTTACTGAAACCTAATCGACAGCCAAGAACAATTAATAAAAAACCTATATCCAAAATAAAATATTAATCAGTACACATCTAATGGATTTAGTGAAAAATAATGAGATTGAAAAATGCAAAAATGAAAGTATCGACATTATGTAGCACAGTCAGTCTTTAAAACTGTATGGCAATACATATTTAATTATGTTTCAATATATTTATAAGAAAAACTATGTTAGAACCGATGAGAACAATATTTAAAGATCTTATTTCCACTTTGTGATCGATTTTGTCACGTTGTTTTCAGTAACATAAATTCATTTTTAATTAAGTCATTGAGACGTATCTGCTATTTCTATCAACTATATGTATTCCAGCATAAGCAACATGGATTAATGTAACATTTGTGTCTATATTCGATTTACAATGTATACGTTCTTAAAGAGGTAAACGAGGGTTATGTATTCGTAAATTGAAGCAATCTTATTCGGTGTGTTTTAATGCTGAATGGTCATTTTCACAATTTTTTATTGTTATCCATTCACAAATGCAGAGATGTATTTTCTTACCTTGAAACAGATGGTTAATCCAAATAGGTTACTGTATGTCCCAATGTTAACCCTATTAAACGCAATCTGCCTTGTCGCTAAACGACCTTTTATCTCAAGACAAGATGAGGTATACATATTTCATTTCACGTTACTTGTGGACTAGGACTATTATAGGCTAAGACTCTTACAGGAAACGTATCTCCCTAATTTGGTTAGTAATTTTTTTTAATTTTATTTTACATTTTCTTGGTTGTAATTTCAATTTAAGTTATTTGTGATTATTAATGATTATAGAGTTGGGATGCCTCTAAAGATTGAAGACTGTCTTAGCACTAAATGTGGTTTAAAGCATCAGAATATATAGGAAAAACGTTGAACAAACAGGGTTTAAATAAGATAAAAAAAAAGTTTTTAACAAACTTACAAATGTATAAAACATATGAACATCTAATATCTTTCGTTATTTTAATAATCAGTGCCAGGTTCTGATATTGTTAATTTTTTTCATGGTGGGTAATCAGTCAAAACTTGTTATTTATTATGTTAATAAAGACATGTTAACTGCCCTAAGATTTCAAAAAATATAGATAAGGAGATTAAGTAACTGAAAAACAGACAACTGTCAACTAAATACCAAAAGGACAAAAATGTAAACGCCTACTGTCCACCAATGGCCTTTCACAATGATTAAACCGTATAGTAAGACCTCACTTGAACATATGACATTTAACCTAAAAGAATTATGTACATTTTGTAATTACCGGAAATATTTAAAGAGTTTAACTCCTAGTTGCAACTTTTCTTATATTTGTGTCTTATAAATCATCAACACGAAAATAACTGTTAATACAATTATGAGACGCGGTCAAATGCATATCAATCTATTTTAGAGACTCTAACAAAGTCAACAATTCGCTCTTTACATTCACAACATCACTTGATTTTTTCCTTAGCATTTTGCTTATTTCATTTAAAAATATCAATCAAGGTAAAAATCACCCTAAAAACGGTGTTAGAGAGTTAAGAGTGGGCGTTTAACTCGTAAATGCATTTGGAATATGCAAAGCAAGATATATGTTTACTCAAAGTAAGGAATAGATAATAGCCTGGTCACCAATTGCCTTCCACAATATTCAAACCATATACATGATATAGTTAGGCTTTATTTCAGCCTATCACATTAAGCGAAAATGAGATATGTTTTTTTTTTAATAATTACCTGAAATATCTAAAGAGTTAAACTCCAGATTTCAACTTTTCTTAGCTATATGTCTTATGAATCATCAACATATGAATAATTATTAAACTATTAAGTGACGCGACAAATTTATATTTATTTTGAGACAAGAACAAGACGGCAACCAACTGTAACAACGTCTACAATTCGTTCTCTACATTCACAACGGCACTTTTTTTTTCGCAAGCTAAACACGTTTTTCTTATTCATATTTAAAAAAAAAAAACGTTCAAGGTAAAAATCACGATGATAGTTGATTGTATATTAGCATGCAAAGAGTTAACCGTGGTCGTAAAATTGGTCAGACGTTTTGGATAATGCAAAGCAAGATATAGTTATATGTATACATGTATCTATAAATATAGGAATCGCAGGAATTTTTTTATTTAACTGGTAGAGTCCCCTCTCTCTATTGTGTTAAAACGACTTATTTTAATAATATATCGATCATTTTATTTTATATAAATATAATCTTATCAGAAATACATTTTCATGACACGATATCACGTTTACGAAAAGGAACTATATTAGTATACTCCAAAGCATTGGAGACGTATGTCGTTTTGTTGTGCCTTTGTTTAATTACATTGCTTTATCCAAATAAAATCTGTTGAAAGTCTGATATTTAAGGTTATTTATTTTAAAAACAATGTTCATGATTTCCAAAAAATCGTTCTTGGATTAGCTGATGTTGCACATTTATGTTTATTTACTGTGTGTTTTTGAATCGTTTTAAGTTCTTGTTAGTCTAATTGATTTCAGAGCATATCTGTTTTAGGTATCACGTAATTGACCTACGCTGAAAATGAACATAATTTTTAAGCTGGCTGTAATCATAACAGGTAAGGGGCGTGCTGTGTCTCTTGAGACTTGTTAAGTTGTCTCTTCTATTAGAAAAAAATAATATTATAATGTTTAGGTTATGTTAAAAATGTGTTTAAAACATGCTAGATATTGAAAGTCAATTCAAAATTAAACTCTTAAGTATCAACATTTGTAAGGAACGCAATGCTTTCGAGTATACATCTAAAATGTTAGATACATTGTTCATTAAAAAAAATGCACTAACTACATTGTACAACTTAAATCTATTAATGCACACTTTTTGATAATGAAACGTATTATCATCTGTGAAGAAGACACATCTGTAACGAAATTTGCCTTCTTGATTTGTTTTGCTTTTTTTTCACTCAGTATCTTACAATGTATTAGATATAAACGTAATACATGTTCAGAGTATATGATTGTATAAAACACAATTAAAATTGATTATGTAACAGCTTAGTATGATATTTGTTAATATGACTAAAAGCAAGAAAGAATATATTGTAATTTGATTTCAGAATTCTATTCTCAGTGTCAACATTGCAAGCAATACATATATGTAGACCTTGTGATTACTATAATAATATCAAAATTTCTTTTTTTCAGCTTTAATGCCTGACAAGGTAAAACAATTTGTGTTTTCTTTTTTCTGAGATTCTATTGAAAAAAGAAGATTTTTTGGTTGTAAAATGAAACCTGCATCTATATTACCAATACTAATCAATAGGTTTATATGACAATTATTTAGAATACGTATAAAATATACACACAACTAGAATATAACACTTTTTGTTGTTACATTTTTTTTAAATTTTGAATATAATTATTCCAGTTGTTTCATTCTAGTCATAACACTTTTCACTTTTTTGACAGTATTAAATTTGGTTTACTATTGAATAATCTCGTGTAAACATTTATATCATAGAACAATAGCGTTGCCTGGGATGACTAGAAGTGTATTTATAAGTGACTTTCGTTTTCAACAAATAATTAGAAGCCCGTTTATATATATTGTGTTAAAGCATTGTGTACACCCTCCACATTAGAAATACACGCTAGACAAATGTTTCGTCAACATAAGTATAATCAGTAGCACTCGAATCTAAATAGCTTTATTATTGAATAAATAATGTGTTGACGATAAACCATTTTTACATCGTTTAATGGAAATGTTTCTGTCATGGGTCAGTAATCTTTTCATAATGATTATAAAAAATCATGTTTTTTTTTTTATAATGCAGACTACCCAGATAGTTGCAGGAAATGATGCATGTATTGAGGATTTTCCCTTTATCGCAGAAATCCAACGTCGAGAAAAGCGTCGTGATCCCTGGGAACATTGGTGTGGAGCGGTTATTCTCTCTGAAACGTGGCTTCTAACCTCAGCAGCCTGTTTTGAAGGACGGTATGCAATTTCCATATTTTCCTTGTCCTAGTATTATTTGTTTATCATATTTTAACTCACTTACCATGTCATATATTTTCATATAAATTATGTAAACTCTTTAAAATTGTTTGACTTTTTATGAGAATGTAAATAACAATTGTATTCAGCCTAAGTTATATACAAAATAAAATCCACAAGCTTAATGACTTCGAAAAATATATTTAAAGGAATGGAACTTTAAATAATAGATTAATTGCAATTTGACGAATTATCGGTTGATTTGTCTCAAATACAACTAACTTTTATACAATTTTTATAATACTTTTAATTCGATATATAGGCGTAATATAGACATTCGAGCATTTGAGTGAATACCATTTTGAACAATTAGGCCTCTGGTCTACTGACTCTGCATTTGCCTCTGCTTGTTATGTTGTCGTATAATTATTTTCAGTTTCAACAGAATTACTATTCTAGACTCCAGTTTGACTGATTTTTCGTTTGTTTGAAGTTGTATGTATTCTATCTAAAACATGAAAAAAGGTGATCTATATCATAAAATGTAAGTTACTTTCATGGAAATAAATTTTCTGACTTCATCAATATACCAGCCTCATCTCTTCAAAATTAAATGGACGTCTCCTAAACGCTGTGTTATTGCAGAAACAGTTAATTATAAAACTCTTCTGTAATGATACAGCTACAATGAACATTATCTATTCAGAGAATACATTTGTTATAAAGACAGATTTTTTGGGTCTTAAAAGATGCATATGACCAGGTAAAATTACTGAACTATTGTTATTGTATTTTCAGAATAAAAAACATGCGTGTTCGGTGTGGCTTTGATGATCTATCAGATCCAAAAAAACAAATAAGAACTATTAAACGCTTCACAATAGTAAGTATCTGATTTCATTTTTATTTCTTTTTTAAGGAGAAGGGAAAAAAATATGCATGTTTATTTACATAAAAATTGGAATTTTAACAAAAAAAATAAAAATATATAAATGAAACCCCCAAAAATCATATCCGAAAAAAGGTTAAGAAAAACTGTTTTTCTATTTAATATGAATAACAGGACAATGCATTTATGTAAAAGAAACAGCAATATGACAATATAATTGTAAATTTTGATCAAAATGTAAGGTGTTTACATTTTTGAGACATGGTTTTATTCCGTAATCAGCTGTTTGCAAGCTTTAATTGGATCCTAATATGGTGTGTTCATTTATTAAAACAGTTAAGAATATCAACATGATCAATATGAAAGCATTTCACTGACTAATAAGGCTCACACACACAAAAAAAAAAAAAAAAAAATTATCATACAAATAAGACAAGGATTCACATTTTTTGTTTAATCTATGACATGAAAATGAACAGACCTAGACAACACTTCATTATAGAATGTTTCCTGCAATTCTGTATATCTATATCTATGTTTATAACGGTGATATGACCATTAGAGGTCATCTCGATGGTGTCTAGTCTGAAAAACGCAAGAAGTGCTTATACATTATAACCAATTGTTAACATGGTTAAAGCTCGAAACAACTAAATTATTTAGTTGTTTTATATTTTAAATGACTGTCAATTTAATTAATAATAGTCACACAAAGTATGATATTATTTGTAAAATGTATTTGTCTTTTTTAACCAGTTAAACTACAATTTTGTGTTCTTTAATATATATACAGATATGATTTTATCGATATGCCGTAAAGAATTATTTTCACTACCTTCATACCTCTGCAACACATCATTTTGAAATCACAGTCAGATGTCAGTTATTGTATCAGGTTGAAAGTCCTTTGTTTTAATGATTTAATCTTGTTGAGTGGACGAGGTAATTTTGTGTGATAATTGACACACAATATCCCTTACTTAATATACTTTATATGAGCTCATCATTGAATCATATATGACATGCTTGAATAAGTGTCCTAGATATTGGCATTATGTCTATGTAATATAAGAACATCTAATTATGTTTTCACTTTTTACATCTTAGTCTTACAAGGTCCAATTGATGAGCTACGTCAAACTATACCTTTGCAATATTGACTTGGTTAATTTAAATTGCAGCATCCACGTTATAATATGAACGAGAACTTTCAATTTGACAATAACATAGCTGTTATTAAACTTCGTACTCCTCTGAAATTTGGACCTAGATGTCGAAATATCTCTTATACAACAATCAAAGGTAGTGATGGTCTTAAAAACTGTCAAGTATCAGGCTGGGGATTCGTTGATGCTAAAAGTAAGTAAAATGATGTAAATAGTAGAATTTTTGGTTTAATTCTTTACGCAATAACAAGTTTCAATGGAGATTTAAGACATATCAAATGAAATTCTTAAGTCAAACAGTTCCGTTATTCCGTTGTCATAAACACTTACGTATAAAATAAATAAGGAAATCAAGTTGGAATACTTGTTGACAAATCCTTTTGTTTGTCTACAATAATCAATAATTATTCCCTGAGATATTAATAGTACACCCTGACCATAGTTTAACATCTTTCTTACTTTTTGTACGCAATATTTGAAAGATATCAATACATGTAAGATAACATCTAATGTCCCCTTTATACTAAGACGGTTTTCCAACGTAACAATACGGTTGCCTCACAACTTTATTCACCAAGTATCGAAAAAATTAAAGAAGATGATAGCACGTACTGCCTTTCAAATATCCTCATCTACACTAGTTTATTTCATGCAGCGTTTGTCAAAAAATTGAACCGAGTGAAAATGTCTGAAATTTGTTTAAATAAAAACCGACTTACTCATTATATAGAATATTCGACAAATGTTACTTTGCAATTATTAAACAATTAATAATGAGATAATTTATTACACAGGAACAGAGGCAGACACTCTCCAGTTTGCAGATATATCAGTTTTATCCAATACCAAATGTAATGATCTAGCATCCCCTACAGTACCAAAGAATCAAATATGTGCTTATGACTGCAAGAATATACAACAAGCTTGCAATGCAAGTATAATTACTTTTATGTCTTCTGAAACAGTTTTTTTTTAACTCAAGTTTCTGCAAAATTAAAGTACATTTTTAGCATTGTTAAATGACACTAGTTTATATGAATAAACCTAATTATAGTAGCCTTTAAGTGTGTATTTAAGTAACTTGATATAACTCGTAACTCTTCATAAATCTACAGAACGTTTAAAAAAAGTAATGTAAAAAAGATAAGTCAAGTGAGATTCGATCAGAATTCATAAACAGGACATCAATCCTACACTGGGGTCTCGGTTGCCGAGTGTTCTAATTCGCCCAACAACTGCATCAATAACCTATTAAATCAGAGGTCGTAATTTGACTCCGCACGTGGAAAGTGCACTCAATTTCAATCTTAATTGACTACGATTGTAAGTTTTCTTACTGAAGGTCAGTTATTTTCTCCGGGCACTCCTGCTTTCCCCATCTATAATTTTTTCTCGCCACGAAATCGCCAACAAGGCGAAGAATGGCGTTGAACACCCATCAATCAATCAATGTTAATGCTTAAAAAATATGCATTTGTGTACATTTTGATAATTTATAGTAAAAGGTCCATGCGTATAATTTGCAATTTACTGTATAAAGGTAAAGGCACCGGTTTACCGAAAGACAAGTAATAAAAATAATTGTCTTACTCATGCGTAGGTTTTAAACAATAAACAGTAAAATAACAAAAAATACCGAACTCTGAGGCAAATTCAAAACGGAAAATCCATCAAATGGCAAAATCAAAAGCTCAAACACGTCAAACGAATAGGAAACAACTGTCCTATTCCTGACTTGGTAAGGCACATCCTTATGTACAAAATAGTGGATTAAACCTGGTTTCATAGCTAGCCTAACCACCCACTTGTATGACAGTCGCATAAAACGTCATTATGTACGAACAATACAACAGACATAATAGGTAAAAATGTCAAAAATAGTTGTTCAGTGGTTCTCGTTTGTGGGTATGGTTCATAAGTGTTTCTCTTATCTCGGTTTTTTATATAGATTAGACCGTTGGTTTTCCTGTTTGAGTTGTTTTACACTAATCATTTTGGTGCCCTTTATAGCTTGCTGTTCTGTTTGAGCCAAGGCTCCGTGTTGAACTCCATACTTTGACCTATAATTGTTAACGTTTTTTACATTGTGACTTGGATGGAGTGTTGTCTCATTGGCACTCATACCACATCTTCTAATTTATATGTACATCAGTCAACATTGAGTTATAATAGATTGGTGTAAACTTTTCAATGATATCATCGACCAAAGAGTAACAAGTCAAAAACATACCAAATTATATGAGATCTTAATGATCGATCACGATCAGAACTCTGGCAGCCACACCGTTGATATAATTAGGAGGACCACACATATATACGACTCTGTATATAACTGTAAATAAGTTAATAGAACTAAAACAGTACATCACAATTTTCAAATGTATGTATGATAATATTATATTTATCTGTTTACATGTCATTCAAAACGCCTTTTTGTTGCATGGTCATAATGAATGCTAAAATGTATATTATCTATATGAAATTCTATATTTTATGAAAACAATACATAAAATAAGTTTTGAAAATAACTTTAAATCTTTCTAAATTGAAGTTGTAATTCTATTTTCAGGGTGACGGTGGCGGACCTTTGACATGTGAAAGAAAAGGAAGTCGTGTTCTCGTCGGAGTATTTGCATGGCAGTATAATGTTTGTAATGCTGAAAAACCGTTTGTATATTCAGCTGTTGCTTATTATACTTCCTTGATTGAAAAATGGACTGGCATTAAAGGAATTCCTTAAATTGTAGCTAAACAAACGATCTGTGAAAAATATATAAAATAAAATAAACTAAAAATCGTGTGCGGTCTTTTATTATAGAAAAACAGCAAATACGGTATTCTCACAATAAAATCATTATGTCTAATAGCACAAGTAACTCTGTTAAATAATTGGAATGATGGAAACATGAATTGGAAAAAATGTTCATAAACTATTTAAAGGGTATTTCTTTTAAAAGACATCTATTCTATCATTCAAGACGAAACATTAATTACGTTCATCACGAATATAAGTGAAACGATAAAAAGACAGCAACTAAAAAACCATTAGTAGAAAAGGGAAAAAATAACCATGTCCTGAAAATCAACAGACAACAAACAGTAACCAATAAAACATTACAGAAAAATATGGAATGCTAACCTACCCAAAAACTTGGAATTTATTATGGTGCCCAGTTTATTAAGCTGTTCTTTCTCTTTCCAAAGCTTTTTTTCTTCCCTGTGTCTTCAACTGCGAAAGCAGGACTAGTAACTGCTTCCCTCTGTCCCTCTTCCGTTCGTACGAAATACCTTGGGTAAACCACTTATCTTAAATCTATCTTATCGTCTATGGAAAAAAAATGTTCGTAGATCTGGTGTAGTGGTTGAAAAAATACCTTGTACCGTATAAGCAATTTTTCTGTCAGTCATTTCTCCATTTCATGTTTGCCAATAGTTGGAATTATACAAAACACCTTGTCTTCAATCCATTTCTGCTTCTATGGCAGGGAATGATTTATGCTTAGTCTAGAGCTTACTGGTTTTGAAAATAACGTGCAGGCAATTTTTACATTTGACATGCACCTACTTCCTGTTTGTGTTTAGTGTTTCATTAAATTACAACACTCATTGTGTAAGAAGAAATGTCGTCAAATTGTTCCTTTCTTCTATTTCATCTTGTAATGTTTGGTCTTGAGCTTGAATATAATTAGTTGTAAGATGTAAACAATTTTTACATCAACAGTACAACCACTTCCTGTTTGACAATCGTTTGCAATTTTACAACACTCACTGTACAAGGAAAATGTTCGTCGATAGCCCAACAAGACTGGTGGAAACTGAACTTATTAATATAACACACAACATTTGAAATGATCATTTACAAAATATAATTTATGTACATAAAAAAAATCTGTAATATTAGCGCTTTATTCTTTACATAGATTTGTGTATGGTACATAGTAGATAAAAAAATCAGTTCTATTTTAGTGTTCGTGATAATGCTGATTTGCACACATGCTCTCCCATCTGTAGTATTGCAGTCGAACTAACACTTAAGGTTTTCATTTAATATTAAAGATGTTAGAGTATATTCGTCATTGAGACAACAACAAAAAGTGGCCGATCGGCTTAAATCAATGTTAATTTGAATAAATTACGACAATAATAACGGTAGTATACCTGTGCTTGTAAAGGTAATGGCGTCGGGTAACAATTGTGGAGAATGAGTAATGTATGTTTTTTTATTACAATGGTAATGTTATTACAAATGATTAAGTTTTTGCTCAACTTTCGGTGTTCATTTTTTTTTTCACAGTATACCCTTCAAATAATTATCATTCCAATAAGAAGAAAGCATTGAGTCATCAGGAGCCTGTACTTCAGTGTTATGCCATACAATGGGTTAAATGCGAGAAAGAAGACGTAGCTATTCTCCCCGAAAGAGAGGCGAAGGATACCAAAGGAACATTCAAACTCATTACCCTTCCGAAGCACATGAGATGTTTTTGGTTGGGTTCGTGTTTCAGAAATGTTGTTTGTCTGTTGATCTGTTTCTTAGCCATGGCGTTGTCAGTTTGTAATTGACTTATGAGTTTGAATGTCCCTCGCTAAGGCATTTGTTACTATATATTATATACATGTAGATATGTTTTTTATTTATTGTTTTGTACATAAGTCGGGCTGTTATTGTTTTCCGTTTGGAATGATTTACAATAATTGTCATTTTGGCGTTTTTGATTACTTTGTCATTTGGTCCTCTGTGGAGAGCGGTCTCATTTGCAATTATACCACATATTCTTATCTTATATTAAACAAATATACAAACAAATGTTGTCCCCGTTGGATTTTAGGTCACTAGGTCAATGATGAAGTTAACAGCAGCATTTAATAGAATTGAATCGGGGTCATATTTATGTTTTCGGATGATATATTTGGAATCAAATGCAAAACCTTTACCAAACGTTGCCTTTAGAACGCACACGATTTGGTCGTTGGGAAGGACAGCAGACCAAAGTTACAGGAGTTATAAATAAACAACTTCAGCATATTTGTTATGCAAAGTTTTGATCTTTCTTTCGACAAATTCAATTAATTGTTCCTTAACATTCTTTTATGAAAGAAATGAACTGTTGTTTCCTTTTGCCATTTGGTAAATGATTGTCCGTTTTAATTTTTTCTTGAAGTTCGGTATTTTTGTTATTTTACTTTTTGCAATCAATTATTTCAAACTTTTTTTTTTCAGTTATTTTTTTATAAAATTTGATGGATATAAAGATAGTTAAAACATGCTTTTACATAAAGACAATCTCCTCTAACAAACGCAAAATTTTACTGAATGATTAATAATAAAATGTCGGGTTTCCATACACGATTTTATTTTGCCAAGGCGCCATTTTAATTGAATTAAACGAAGCTAAGATTCTATAATTTGTTCGAGTTCAATATGTGACGCAGTAGAGTTCAATCTGTCAAAAAGGTGAATCCGTTCTTTCTGTCCGATCCGTCAAAGACTTTTACTATAAGTCTGACGGGTTGGTGACATGAGTTTTACGCGAACTTGACTTATCGGTGACTGATCGATGACCGCTGACTGATCGCTAAAATAGTAATGCCTAAGGCTGCGAGTACTTTATCATAAATATAATTATTTTTATTATTATAATATCTAATAATAATTAATTATCATTATAATCATAAAAAAGACCCCAAAACGAATGGTAGGTTTTTATTAAATCCATTCAACGGTTATTCTAAAGGACATGTAACAATTAACGTCACAAAAAAGGAATTCTTCGTAGCATTGTCTTTCTGAAATAGCAAGATAACATCACTTGCAAAAGTAGCTGCTTGGCGTAATTACAACAATTCGTGATGAAATTGCTGTAGTCAAATTACAGGTAGCTGTTTTGTAATTTGTTTAAAGATGTTCGCTCCTGTTGTTTTTGAATTTTTGTCAGATTTTCGGAATCCTCTGGTTTTATCCATGTTTAGATTGTGCCTGATATTCATATGATGAAGACATAATCTTTCAATCAGTTTAATTGAGGTCTGGAGCTGGCATGTCAGTAACTGCTAGTAGTCTGTTGTTATTTATGTATTATTGTCATTTTGTTTATTTTCTTTTATTTCCTCTTCTGACATCGGACTCGGACTTCTCTTAAACTGAGTTTTACTGTGCGTACTGTTGTACGTTTGTTTTTTCTACATTGGCTAGAGGTATAGGGGGAGGGTTGAGATCTCAAAAAACATGTTTAACCCCGCCGCATTTTTTGCGCCTGTCCCAAGTCAGGAGCCTCTGGCCTTTGTTTATCTTGTATCATTTTTAATTTTAGTTTCTTGTGTATAATTTGGAGTTTAGTATGACGTTCATTATCACTGAACTAGTATACATATTTGTTTAGGGACCAGCTGAAGGACGCCTCCAGGTGCGGGAGTTTCTCGCTTCATTGAAGACCCATTGGTGGCCTTCGGCTGTTGTCTGCTCTATGGTCGGGTTGTTGTCTCTTTGACACATTCCCCATTTCCATTCTTAATTTTATTAACAATTAAAAAGTTTTATCCAATAACCCCTACTTTTTTTCAAATTTTTTTTACATATAGTTTCAAAAGCCATATTTGAAAACGTTACAAAAATCTCGTTATTTTTTCATAGTTTTTAAAAGAGAAAAGCGGACAATTTTAAAAGTATGAAAAATCTAGAGAGAATCATTTTCAGCCAAATTTTCAGTGGCTTATATCTCGAAAATAATCACACTGACCCTTCATTTTGTTCTGCTTTTTATTTCCTTTATTTATATACTATCATTTTATAACAGTTTTTTAAAAGGCTTGTTATTTTGAAACAAAGTAGCGAACATCCTTAAGGACAAAGCTTATTTCGATTACCAAAAAAGTACTTGACATATATCTGATTATCTGATGTGGCAGCTTTGTACTGATGAATTTTATTCATTCATAGGTTATTTGAAATAATGGTTCCTAACGAATTATACTCTAGCATGTTTTTTCTTTTAAAGTGTAAATGTACTCTAAACAGGAATCCTTCGTTTTTTTAAAACTTAATTACTATGAAAAGAAACATAAACTTGCCAATGCCAGCCGTTAAAAAAAAACTAAATGTTAACATGTTTTATTACTCAGAATATATATTTTTACTATTATTATCCATGTTATCTGCATTTAGTGACAGGTAGTGCTATTCTACAAGCATGAAGCCTTGTTTCAAGACATTTTTGTTTTTAGTTCAAACTGGAAAAAAATAAACTAAAATACCCCTATGAGAAACCGAATTTGTAATACGTAAACAATCACACATTGTTGATATTTGTATTGACCTAGAGTATATATAAGCTTTTATCATCTTCACTTAATTCAAAGATACATATTGTACACACGGGAAACCTTGATTTAATATTTAAGAATAAATCCTTTTTTATTTATCTTTCAAATTGAATTTCTTAAAATATCCTGAATATTACAAAACATCATATTTCTTTTGATGTCTCCAGTCGTTAACAATGAATAAAAAACATTGTATGCAGAATATTTTGTAAATCATTCGTTTGCAATTAAAGCTGAGGTACAAATGTATACTTTAAGACTTATGATAAAACCGATAGAATGTATAATCAATTATCTGCTATTTTAAACTTTCTATAAAGACAAAGCTTTTATTTTAGTAAATTTAGAAAGCGCAATGAAGATGTCTGATGTAACAGCTTTGTAGCGATGATTTCAAATCATAACCATTTAATTTATAAGAATGACTCATACCTCATTA